GTGCGTGAATGGAAAATTAAGATTTGTGGGATTCCACCAAACTTTGAACCGAATACCAACCTGACTATAGCTTTAAATTCTTGGCTGAGTGGGGAGCTGAAACTTCCAGGTACTGTGGTTATGACAGTATACAGACTAAACACTGAACTAAAATGACAGCATACAGACTAAACACTGAACTAAAAACTAAAGCAGATCTGGATCACCAGCCATAATTTCAGATGTTATTGCAGTGTACTGGCCCCAGTGGGTCTGGTGTGGGAGCAGGCAGAAGTTCCACAGGACAACCAGGCAGAAGGGACCAGGTAATCATTCATAGCTGTCAAGTTCCTTAGCAGGGACACACCACACACACACTCAGGCTTCTTGAGAAGATAAGTGGTTTTATTGGTAGTCCATAACTAAAGAACGAGTATACAGCTTTTGTCAAGAATGGCCTGTAGTACATTGGCCTCTGACTTATAGTGATTTCGAACTATCCCCCCAGAAGCAAAAAGCCAATGGTTAACTTTCGCGCGCACGGCAAGCAAACAGCAAAACAAGCGGCAAAGCTAGAAAGCAGTTAAGGTTCCCAGCCGTCTCATTACAGCTAGAGACAGCAAAGTCAAAGCCCCGATAGCAGTCAGTTGCTGGGCAGGGAAGCGCTGGGAAAGCGGAGGAGAGCATCACCCCCACATACCAATGCCATGACAGGGCTACCTGACAACAGTACAGGTTCAAGCAGGAGAGTGGTCAAGAGGCAGTCCAAGGGTCAGGTATCCAGAAAGGGGAGTCGTCAGTCAGTCCAAGAGTCGGGGGTCCAGAAGTCAGGTGGTTCAGTGTTCAGTCCAGGTTCAGAGCAACAGAGGTTCCAGTCAGCAAGTCAGGAGACAAGGTGGGTGGTGATGCAGCCGTGGTATACGTTGTGTCCACAATGAGCAGCTTCCCCCTTCCTGGATTTATAGCTGACTCTCCATGGGCTGGTTAGCTGCCGCTAATTGTGGCACGCATCCCTGCAAGTACTCATCTGGCGACAGGTGTCTGCGATTCATCAAACGTTCACCGAGATGGGCTCTGAAGTCTGATCTCCACTGACGGTGACGGCACTCAAGGGGTGTTGGAGAAATGCTGGGCCCGGGCTCCAACCCTCTCCTCTGCATCTGATGCCGGTAACTTGCTTGCAGCTGGAGGAAAGGACAAATTGGTTACAGCTGGTGTTTGGTCAAGAGCTTACATCTCCTGTCCCTGAAGATTGATGGGATCTAATGCAGCTGGCTGTTCCTCCGAGAAGGAGGAGGAGAAGATATCGTTATCAGGCTGAGCACCCGTCCGGTCAGGCTGGGAACAAGGGAGATGTATGACACAGAGATTGTGGACGTTCAAACAAATAAATTAATTTTAGAAACTGCTTGTAGCCAAAAGGTTTGAAACTAGATGATGTTATCACCCAAATATTCCCAGAACTCCCGTATGAAACCTTGACTGCTCAAAGAAATATGTGTTCAGTGGTAAAGAGATGAATAGAACTAAAAATTCCATATTGGTGGTTACCTCTGGGTCATCTGACAGTTACCCAAGGGAGAAGGACTTAGACAGCCCATGATGTACCTTCGGGAGAGGAAATGATTACGGCTATTACACAGGCTGCCACTGGCTCATAGGACTAGACTTGATAAGGATGTGAAATAGACAGCGCTGGAATAGAAACTTTTGTTTAAATTTAAGTTGGGATATTCCACAACACAGGTAAGACTGTATGGGGAAGATCCCCAGCCCGCCAATGGGGAGTCTCTATAAGGGACTCCTTTGGGAAACCAAAGATTCTGGAGCGGGCAGCATGTCCTGAAGATCAAAACTAGAAGATAAAAATTTCGGTGTTCAGCATTAATTCTTGCTTTCCTTTCATTGTAATAGATATATAATAAAATTATACGTTAGAAGTGTAAAGAAATAAATTGACAAATAATAGCAAGTAAAAAAATAATTTGGGATCAAGGGGGGTAAGAAAAAGAAAAGATGTATGAATTGTATAATGATATATTTTCGGAACCTAGAATTAAGTTTGTGGGAATGTTCCCAAGTGGATTATAAAGATAAGACAAAAGATATAAATATGAATCCAATTTGGGCATATTTGTCTTAAATTAGTTTAAATATTATTCCTTCCTTTGTTATGACATTTTGTATAAACTTGTATTATGGTAATTAAAAGCAAAATAAGATTTTTTTAAAAAAAGAACTCAAATCTGAACTTGTGGATCTCCTGAAAAAATATGTAATCTTTCATTAAAATCTGCCTCCATTCCTGAGGACTGGAAGGTAGCAAATATCACTCCCATCTTTAAAAAGGGTTCCAGAGGAGATCCGCGAAATTACAGGCCAGTCAGTCTGACATCGATACCAGGTAAGTTGGTGGAAACCATTATTAAGGAAATAATTAGTAGGCACATTGATGAACAAAAACTATTGAGGCAGACTCAGCATGGGTTCTGTAAGGGAAGATCTTGTCTCACTAACCTGTTAGTGTTTTTTGAGGGAGTGAACAAACATGTGGACAAGGGGGACCAAATAGCTGTTGTTTACCTTGACTTCCAGAAAGCTTTTGATAAAGTTCCTCATCAAAGGCTTCTAAGTAAGCTCAATAGTCATGGGATAAAAGGACAAGTCCTGGATCAAAAACTGGCTAATTAATAGGAAACAGAGTGAGTATAAATGGGCAATTTTCTCAGTGGAGGGTGGTAAGCAGTAGAGTACCACAGGAATCAGTACTCGGTCCAATGCTTTTTAATTTATTTAGTAATGATTTGGAGTTGGAAGTAAGCAGCGAAGTGGCTAAATTTGCAGATGACACGAAATTGTTGAGGGTGGTGATAACCTGGGAGGATTGTGAGGCACTCCAAAGGGATCTGTCAAGTATGGCCGAGTGGGCATCAACGTAGTAAATGGGGTTCAATGTGACAAAGTGCAAAGTGATGCACATTGGAGCCAAAAATCCTAACTATATATACACATTGATGGGGTCCAAACTGGCAGAGACTGACCAAGAGAGAGATCTTGGAGTCATAGTAGATAACTCAATGAAAATGTTGAGACAGTGTACAACTGCAATAAAAAAGGCCAACACAATGCTGGGGATTATTAGGAAGGGAATTGAAAACAAATCAGCCAGTATCATAATGCCCCTGTATAAATCGATGGTATGACCTCATTTGGAGTACTGTGTACAGTTCTGGTCACCATACTTCAGAACGGATATTATAGCATTGCAAAAAGTGCAGAAAAGGGCAACTAGAATGATAAAAGGGTTGGAACACTTCCCCTATGAAGAAAGGTTAAAAGCGCTTGGGGCTCTTTAGCTTGGAGAAACAACAGTTTAGGGGTGACCTGATCAAAGTTTATAAGATTATGCATGGGATAGAGCAGGTAGAAAAAGAAGTACTTTTCTCCCTTTCTCACAATACAAGAACTTGTGGACACTCAATGAAATTGCTGAGCAGTTGGGTTAGAACAGATAAAAGGAAGTACTTCTTCACCCAAAGAGTGATTCACACATGGAATTCACTGCCACAGGAGGTGGTGGTGGCTTAGAAGCATGGACAGCTTCAAGAGAGAATTATATAAACACAAGAGAAAAGACCCGCAAAACTCGCGGGGGGGGGGAGGAACTCAGCAGGCGGAGGAGGAAGAAGCAGGTAAGCTCCCCCCCGTCGGTTCCCCCGTCTCCTTCACCCCCTGCTCGCCACCCCCCCAGTCTCTCTTCTCCCCCCCTCCGATGCAAGCCCCGCCGGCTGCAGCC